TCAAACTCCATCTACTCATTTATTAAAAACACACGAGGAAAAATATTTGCTTTAATTTCATATTATTCAGCCCTTGCTAAAAAATTTTATTTTTACCAAATATTTTATATACATAAACAGAAGTAAAGAAAAATTATTCATAGTGTTAATTATATTTAATGTAGAAATATATATCTGACAAATAGAAAATAATATGCGAAGGCAAAATCTTGATAATTCGATATCCATTCTACTATGAGGAAAACATTTTTGAACTATAGAATTGATAGGGTGTCGGCCACTTGCCTGCTAGACAGTTGCCCGCCGGACAGATGCCCACAAGACACTTGCCCGTGCGATACGTGCCCGTAATGGACAATGTTGAGGGTAAGGGTGCGGGCAAGCATCATACTGGCAAGTGTCTTGCGGGGATCTGTCCGGCGAGCATATGTTCTGCGGGCAAGTGGCCTAGATTCAGAATGATATGACTTGAATTTCCCAGGAATAATTTGTCAATGAATATGAAAATAAAAAACAAATTGCTTCAAGCTTTCAATTAATTGACAAAGATCTTGGTCAAAAACATTTACATTTTTCAACTAAACAAAAATATTACTTTTTCTTAATGTATTGTTTTTTTGTTTTATTTACATACCAATCGATTTTGATGTTTCTAAATTTTGTGCCCATTGTGAAGCATCAATATGATAAAAGTATCCTGATTGAATATTTAGTCGAACTAAAACTAAAAATTAATTTAAATTAATACTATAGACAGTTCTCGAAGTTATAAATTTTATTATCTTATTAAACAATAAATAATCATCTTCTTCATGTTGAGTTCTTTTCTTTTTCAAGTAAAATACCAATGGTTCATTTCTTTTTGAACACAATATTGTAACTGATTCTTATTCTTGGAAGATATATTAAAAGGAATATTGTATAGCTAGTGATGAATGATAAAAGAAAATCATTTATGAAATGTCCGACATAGTAAAGGAAAAATAATTTATAGGATAGAACCTTATTGTAATATATAGAATAGTTTTTGACAAAAAAACACACTAAACTAGATGATGTGTTTTATTAAAGATCCATAAAAATGGTATGCCTTTTCGTTTGATTAAAATTGAATGTTTTCTTTTCTTCGCTTTCTTACATGCATACAGGTATGGAAGACTAAAAAATCAGACTTTACGAAGATTAATCAGAGACTATAATCAGATATTTATTTGTTTTTGTGAATAACTTGTTTCATAGTGATCGCTAATGATAATAAAACGAAAAAAAGAGAAGACTTAAAAAGTATATCACTTGTTCAGTAAATAAATTGAACAACGAACGATAATTTAAGAAGGTTTATAAATTCTGTGACCTTAATTCAGATTCAGAAATAAAAGGATAAACTAAAACTCTTGTTAGCGCAATTCATTTTACGAATGACATATGAAATTCGAATAAATTCCTTAGCCTCCCTTAAACTCACAGAAACTACTGAAATTAACAATATCTTGTAGATTTTAGTTGTTTCTCAAGCCAATCAATCGCTACCGTATAAATCTATCCAATTTATTTCTGGACGTGGAACAGAATTTTTGTTTTTGTTTTTTGGGAGAGGGTGAGATATCTGGAAAACTTCGACTTGCCAATTATACTCGGCATTCTCTTTAAGAATATATGTGAATTCTACAATACGAGACATATATAAATTTTAAAATTGATGAAAATTTATTATTATATTAGAGACGTGCAGGAGTATCTCATTCTAAATAGTAAAGGTTATACATATCTACATAGTTTCTTTCGAAAATATACTTATTAGATGTCCAAGGAAAATCATCTGATCGTCAACGATGCAAAGTTTGTAAATGAGGCATATGAGTACTGAGAAAAGATGCAAGATTCTCTCCAACGTAAATCGAGTCATTAGGGTCATAATGACAGCTAGGAATACCGAATTCAGCACATTGAACAGAGCTCCATAAAAAATAAGAGAAAATTAGAAATCTTCTAGAATTCATTGCCTTGAATAATTTGATACTTGCATTGAAATAGAATGAAACTAAGCGTCTACAAAGCTCAAGCTATTTAATCTCGGTCAGACTCATTTAGGATCTGACTGAACCCAAGTCAAACTAATGCTAAGTCTAACAAAGTTCAAACCCGACCAAGTCTAAACTGTTCAGTCTAGGTTCAGCCCCATGCAAACCTACGATATAATGAATAGCTAATATAAAGATGAAAGTTATTTAAAATTTTGTTATTCTTTACATAATATCGAAGTCTTCACTAAAATACTGGTCATTTTCTAATTGTTCTTTTTGTTTTTAAATTTTTGTATTTTAGAATAATATTTCTTATTATCTTTCCTATTTTTATGTATCAATAAATAAGAATAACAAGGTTTTATTTCATTTTTATTCTTGAAAACATATACACGATGAACAATTTTTAATAATCCATGTGATCAAATCAATTATGAAAAGAAAACTATTTTTTGTTAAATTTCAAGTAAGACAACAAATGTAATAGATACTTAAGTTGAACTGGCGTTGAAATGAAATGAGCAAATATTTTTGTACGTACTTTATTTAGGTTCATTGATTGTACTACAACTTTCTAAAAAGATTAATTTTTGTTTTTGATCTAAGTTATTTATATATTTCAAGTAAAGAAATAAACTTATTCTAAATAATATTTTCTAAAGAGAAAATAAATAAATATAAGTGACACTTTATATAACATAATTATTTGTTTGATTTTTTACAAAGAATATTAAATCTATTTCATGAAAATAAAAAAATATTCATTATGTTTTAGGATCCAACTCTGAAAAGTTTTCTTAAGTGCATGTTGAAAAATATTTCATTACAGTTGACCTTCGCCCCATACATATGTGTTGGACTGAAGACAGAGACGACTCTTGATAAGATTCTGATAGTTTATTTTATTAATAGCTTTCGAAATGCTTTTTCAATGGATAATTGTATCCTCCGTTTCAGAAATGATATATAAGATTTTTCAACATCGTCGTACGGTAATATGAATACGAATCGATTCTACTAGGATTTATCAACGAACTCATTTAGCAACAACAATCAATTTAAGTTTCAACTTTTGAATCTCAAAAACACTCCGATTCTATTTTAATGTGCGTGTGAGTTGTAGACTTAAATGAAGGAAATGCCAAAAGTCAGTAACAGTCATACTCAACTTCGATATCTATACTTTACAGCGTATAAGTTAATTATGGTGAGATTATACTGATAGTCAGGAGTATAAATGTTGACTTTGAGAATCATAAACGGTATGTTTGAGACCAACAACATAGAAGAAAATCATAAAGGGTAGGTGTGAATTCTATTGTTTCATCTTTAAGACTAAAAACTGATGAAGTTTTTCAGTTCGACATTTCTTGACTTAGAGTGTTGTCTATCTGAACGGAAGCATTTAAACCCTTGGTATCACCAAATCGACACTTAAGTTGAGTGCAAACCTGAGGTAAGAGTGTAGATATCTATGTTTGACTCACACCCTCTGTTCACGGCAAAGACTTCTGTTTTTTTATTGATAGAAAAGCTATGGAGTACAACGGGGTGTGGGTGTGGGTGCGTGATATCTCTTCAATTACACCCACACCCACACTCTACTCGGGAACGCTTTTCTGTTCGTAGGTCCCTGTCGTCTTTATGTACGTCATACCTACGAACATGCCCTACCAGTTCGGCGTGGTCCGCTCTGCGTGTACCCATTTCAGGCTTACAGGGTCTCGCCCTAGTCGCGCGCGCTCGTACGCGAAAATGACCCTCAAACAAACCGAAAAAGAAAATGAATAGCAATCGAAATGAATTTATTGAGCAAGCAAGAAGAGAAAATAAATGCGGAAACTTCGGATTTAAATCCGAGAGTTATGTGTACTTCAAAAAGTGAATCATACAAATCAGTCATCCTAGAATGTCTGAACATCAAAACTATACTGCGGAACCTACCATTTAAAACGTTGATTTCTATTGCGCGTTCCCAAATCAATAGGACATGGGACCGAATACAGCTCGAGTTTGAACTCTTTCCCTTGATTTACCCTAAGAAAGTCGTTTTCCCTATAACTTCATTTCTATTGGTCACTGCACAACCAATAGTATTTCGATGGAAGTGCAGTACACATTCGAGTTCTCCATATCTGAAAACCTCGAAGTATCATCACTGCGATAGAAAGATAGAGCTCTATTTGTGAATCAATTCGATTGTGGACCAAAATATAACTTAGTTTTCTTTAATTATCCTTGTGATAGGTGAGTCTACCTACTTGTTTCTTTATGTTTTATATATGATTTTGTAGCTCTTAAAATTCTCTATCGAATGGTATATAATAGTTGGGGTTTTAATTGACTATGATAGGAAAAGTCTTTTACAAAAGTCGTGATGGGTCCATTTTTCCATAGGAAGTTATAGGAAAAAATGAGTATTTTTGCAATAACTCAGGAACGGCTCGGTCGGTCCTTCTCATCTTCTTCTCTCGACCGAAATATTGTCAAGACTAAGCTGTGCAGAAAGTTTCATCGCAATCTGACTCTGCCGTCAAAAGTTATCATGAAAACAGCCAACCGGACGGACGGACACACCGACTATTCTATAGTGTACTCACTGTTTGAGTACACAAAAGTATGATTCAGTTCAAAACTAATATCAGATTCAGAATCAGCGTTAAAAGGTGAGTCGATTTATGCATTTTGCGAATAATTATGAGCAAAAAAGTTTTTTTCGAAAAATCCCCGTACCCCCCCTCAGGGATGGTCTGGTCAAAAATCACAATTTTTTCGATAACTCAGCCATTTCTTGACGGATCCTTCTCATCTTCGAACTCGACCGAGATATTCTAAAGACTGAACTGTGTAAAAAATTTCATCGCGATCTGACTCTCCTTTCGAAAGTTATCGTGTATACGGTCGGACGGACGGACGGCCGGACACACTGACCGATTCTAGTAGTGTACTCACTTTTTGAGTACACTAAAAAAACGTTTACATTTTCTTACGAATTTTTTCAAATGTTTCTTCATAGTCTAAAAGATGAGGATGAGTTGAAGGTAATCCTTCTTGTGCAATTTCAATCGTTTGTTGAATATTTTTCATTGCCATATTATATTGTCGAGTAGATAAATATAATTTTGCCATATTGTGATATACAACAGCTAAATCAGGATGATTTCTTGGTAATTTCTTCTCACGTATGTCTAATCCTTTTTGAAAACATGCCAATGCTGTTGTATAATCTTGCATTTCTCGATACGTTTCACCTAAATTTATATATGTTAATGCACATTCAAGAGGATTACACTGAACATTTTCTTGAATATTTAATGCTTTTCTATAAAATAACAACGCCTTTTCGCAATCACCCATTAATCGATGAACATCACCAATGTCACTGTATGTAATAGCTAGTTGAGGATGATTTTCAGGTAACGCTTTTTGACGTATTGAGAGACACTTTTCGAAATTCTCAAGTGCTCTTGGATAATCTTTCATACTGCGATAAATCATTCCGAACCATTTGAATGGATAAGCCAAATCAGGATGATTCGGAGGCAGAGCTTGTTTTGTGATTTCCAAGTCCTTTTTGAAATATTCAAGTGCTTTCGAGTAGTCACCCATGTCGTTATACACTCCACCGATGTTGTTGTAGGAAGTAGCCAAATCGGGATGATTCGGAGGCAGAGCTTTTTCTTTTATTTTATGTGCTTTTTCGTAAAAATCCAGTGCTTTCGAGTAGTTACCCATATTGCTATATGCGAGACCGATGTTGTTATAGGAATTAGCCAAATCGGGATGATTTGAAGGCAGAGCTTTTTCTTTTATTTGATGTGCTTTTTCGTAAAAATCCAGTGCTTTCGAGTAGTCACCCATATTGTTATATACGAGACCGATGTTGTTGTAGGAATTAGCCAAATCGGGATGATTTGGAGGCAGAGCTTTTTCTCTTATTTTAAGTGCTTTTTCGTAAAATTCCAGTGCTTTCGAGTAGTCACCCATGTTGTAATACACTCCACCGATGTTGTTGCAGGAAGTAGCCAAATCGGGATGATTTGGAGGCAGAGCTTTTTCTCTTATTATAAGTGCTTTTTCGTTAAATTCCAGTGCTTTCGAGTAGTCACCCATGATGTTGTAGACTCCACCGATACAGGAGTAAGAAGAAGCCGAATCAGGATGATTGGAAGGCAGAGCTTTTTCGAATATTTTATGTGCTTTTTCGAAAAATTCAAGTGCTTTCGGGTATTCACCCATGTTGTTATATGCGATTCCGATGTTGTTGTATAAAGCAGCCAAATCGGGGTCATTCGGAGATAAGACCTTTTCTTTTATTTTAATTGTTTTTTCGTAAAATTCAAGTGCTTTCGGGTAGTCACCCATGTTGTTATATGCGAGGCCGATGTTGTTGTAGGTATTAGCCAATGAAGCATGATCTTCTGGGAGAGTTTTTCGGTAGATTTCGAGGTATTTTTCATAAAACGCAATCTCTTTTTCATATTGGCCTTGCTGCCATTTCACTCTACCCAACTCGTGATAGATATATGCTTTCTCGCTGTCGTTCAATGCCTGTTCTAGTAATGTGGTATACAATTCTTCGGCCTTTGCGAATTGACCTATTTTGAGCAGCAATTGACCCATTCCATACCACCCGGTGCCATTGATCTCTTCTGCTATACGTTTGGTTAATCGACGTAGTTGTTGATCATCATCTGCTGTAAGTTTAAGGTCCACTTCATAAAGTGAACTTTTCTTGTCAATTTTTCGAACTTCACCAATTCGAAAAACTGTATGCATGGAGAAGAGAATTTCCTCTTCTTTCTGGTAATAGCTCACTTCTCGAATGGAAGCAAATGGAGTCGACGATTCTGTCGGATCGATGGTCATTTGGAAAAGAACACCAATCGTATCTGTTGTTCCTAAGGCGTCCTTGGCGAATTTGAAGGAGACATCTCGATGTTTACTGGTGGATAAGAAATTATTAAACGAAATGAGTCCACCTTTGGTTTTCGTGATTTTTTCGAAATCTGCCGTCAATAATCCCTGCCCCCGATAAACTAGAAAGGCCTTACCATTATATTGATGAATCTGTGTCTTGTGTAAATCTTCGATTTGTCGATAGACATCACTAAGATAAAAGCCCATTCTGATAATAATGTCACCATCGAGCGTTCGTAATGCTCGATTAAGCATTTTGTATGCGAAACATTCGCGGGTATAGAACCAAATGGCCTTTGATGCGTGATAAGTACGTTCAAATTCTTCAATAATTTTTATTTCTTGCATATTTCCCTTGTATTGTTCTCGGCAATAAGTAATCAAGTCTTCGAAGTCTTGGTGACAGTGTTTCATATCAAGGAGAATTTTCTTGAAGATTTGCGTGTACATGAACGATGGTTCTAGCTGATTGAGACTTTCGCTAGAACCACCAGCATCAGCACTAAGTATGCTCACCTTTGTATTATTTTGATTGCATTGCTTGACAGCTATTTGCAATGTATTGCATATGGATTTGATTGTTTTGTGGACGCCTTTAATTTTTGTCCAATGTTGAGCCCATTCCCGATGAAGTTCCTTGTTACGACAAAATATGTATATCTTATCAAGGTTTCGCATTTCATGGATATTTGGTACAAGAACTTGCCCAAGGGAGCCCGAGGAGATAACGAAAGATGTCTCCTCCTTATTATCATTCAGTAATCGAATGCATTCTTCTGGTGTAATGCAAATCTTTACTTCATTGACAACACCTCGCAATTGCGAGAGTGTATGTTGAAAATCTTCATTTTCCATGTTGATGTTGGCATCGACCCATATGACTAAATAGTTTTCAGCCATACGTTGTCTTCGTTGTCGACTCATTTTCGATGTAATATTTAATAAGCTGTGTGGACAAAATTTACCTTTTATATTTATACATTCGATGCACGTTGTTTTTTTTTCTAGATTTTTCTACGATATCAAATGTGAATATTTTGTTTTATTTCGTTGATAGTCAATAACAATCTATGCCTAGTATCAATCGAAGGTATACTTGTCAAAAAAAGAAATTAAAGAAAAAAGCCCATCAACGTCATTTATGGTATGATTACTTTTTTTCCACTTTCATTTACGTTTCATATTAACCGTGACTTAAGTTTGCTTGCATTAGATATCTTGTCTAATACCTTGTATATTTTTTTTCGATTCTTTCAAAACGACGTTTTTTTCTCTTGTTGAGAAGAACGAAAAAAAAAACGAAGAACATCGTTTGTGTGATATTTTTTTCTCATTATGCATACGACTGATATGCTGTTAATGTGAACGAAACAAGAATAAACATTATTTTAGTTTTTATATAGGCAACAATTAAACAACGATATCTACTTGCCGAATATACCGAATTGATATTGGAATAATTTAAGAGCTGCTCAATTATAGTTTATAGACTTTTGTCATACCATGTTCAGCATCTATGAATTATCATTCACAATCTGACTAAAGTAATTTTTGATTCATGTTCATTCGAAAAAAAATATATATAATAAAACGAAATTTTGTTTTCTTATTTTCTGTAACTATTCTTCTTTGATTAATTTCTACGACTCATAAAGAAATAATATTCAAATTGTGTTTATTCACATTTTACATTCACACAATTTTAACATATTTTACAGTGACAATGAGAACAAATTCTGCTCTATGCAAACATGTATATTGTAAACGTATATCAATAGAAAAAATAGTACAAAAGATGCGCTAATTGATAATTATTTTTTTTTTGCTTGTATGCATGTGAAACAAAGTCATACATGCTCGCATGCAATTGACAAATATTGAAAAGAATGGCTGGTATTTTTTTAAACTAAAATTAATAATGATGTTAAAGATATTAAATGTGTTTCTTAATTTACAAGTAAGAAAAAAAAACACCATTATTGTATTAGATGCTTGTTGTCTTTGTGTCAAACGTAAAATTGTGTTCTTCGAATAAAAAGCATTGACCGAAACGTTAATTGCGCGATTCTTTTGAACATACAACTGATGATACAGACAAGATAAATCAATAAAAGAAGTACAAAGCAATTTTTATTATTTGTTGTGGTGGATTTTTTTTTCTTTCGTTCGTGTCTGTACGATGAATGAACATGTGACGATAAAATATGTAAACAAAGGATTATTGAAGAAACATAATATTACATTTTTTACTTTCTTTTTATGTGATTGCATTTTATGACGATTTTTTATCTATAGGCTATATATGGTTAGCATCATATTGACAAGACGATTAAAATCGAACGAATATTCAAGAACTAGTTGTTTAAAGCTTACATTTATTTTGTCGTGCAAGAACGTTTACAAATATGTCATAATGTAAATAAACTTTTTTTTCGAAAGTTTTCTTAGTTTTGAAATTGTTTACATTGAAAAACTGAAGAGAATCTTAATGTAGAATAGATTGCTAAGACATGAAACAAAGTTATTTCAGAAATTTGAACCTACAGAAGAAAAATTGTAAATATCTAGCATCTACATTATGGTTTGCGACTAGATTGATGATGTTAAAGTTGATAAACGTGCATCTTTAGCTAAACATCGTCAGTAGGCTTTTACATTTCAATCGGCATATGCATTTATTTGATAAAGTTGAGAATTATTCAGAGATCAATAAAAAAAGAAAGTGATGAATTCGCAAGCGATCGTAGGTATAGATAAAAGGTATCGTTGTGTGAAATATATCATCGTTTCTAAATCAATAAGTCTAAACACTAAAAGATTTTAATGAATTACTATCTAGATATTGGTAAAATATTCTATACTTAAATATTGTGAAAATGTCACAAAACATCATTCTTGAATGAAGAATAGTCGTTCTTCTAGCAAGATCTTCTTCTAATAGAAGAACTTTTAAATCTTTGAAAATGAATCTATAAAAGAATACTAGTACAGTGAGAAATTTTTTTAATAGAATTCTTCTCATCAAAATGAATCGGAATTGTTTAATTTCAATCTACAACTGGTTTATTTGAACCAGAATCATATGAATTTTAGTGAAATTCAATTGTGACAATGTAATTTTCAACGTTTAGAAACCTCTACAAATTTTTTATTTTGGTTTGTCAAACGACTTTATCTAGATACAATATATATATATCCTTCTTTATCAAAAAATGGTTTGATTATGTGTACCACTTAATAACTTAGTTTGGATATGTAAAGAGCTGTTAAAACAAGTGTCTTATTCATTAAGAAATACGAAGAGTACCTACAGTTACTCAATAAAAGTAATCTGCCTACATATAACACTATATATATTACCTTTTAACAATACCGATTATTATTTTGATTATATAATTTCATCTGAGCTTGACTTTTAGTAGGCTCCACAACTCTAAAATGATAATAACCAATCAGTATTTTTTATCTAGAATCTTTAATTCTAATACTATGTCAATAAAAGATATTTAGATGAAGATTTTTATAAATTTTTTTTTGTTGTAAGACTTATATATTCATTTGCAAAAAAAAATGATAAAACATCGTCGTAAAAATTAAAAAAAAATAATTATTTGTCAAGATCTGTTATAGCGTATTGTATTTGGAAATTTTATCGTCAAAAAAATTAAACTCTTTAGGTAATCTTTCATAGATGTTCATTAGAATCTTATGAATCGAAGACTACTAATAATTGTTAAATACTATAAGGAAAATAAAAAGTGAGAAGTAATGATCTTAAATTAATTTCTTTATCTATTTCATTTTATGATCGTTCGATCTATTAATTGGCCGCTCTCGACTTTTCTAAACAAGATAAAACCGAATCAAACTATTAAATTGATTGCCCATTCACTACATATGTAATTGCCATATTAAAATCACCATAAAGAAATTAATTTAAAATAATTGCTTTTCTTTTTTATCTTATTATTTTATTCAAAGTTTCTGTTTTTGTGTTTATTTTAATAATATTGACTTTCATTCTAACTGAAACAAACTTCCAGTGATTCATGTCAATACTTTGAATGAAATTGATTATTTTCAATATCAACTATAGTTTTCACTCATCTATGAAAGGTAAAAAATTTTAAATCTAATTCTTATAATTGAAAAATGTATCGAGGACAAAAAATTCCAATTGAAGAATTCGAAAAATTGAAAAAATAATATCGGTACAATCATATCAACCAATGGATTTTTCTCCACTTCAAGGTAACACTTCAAATGATCATCGATCAGTTCTTTTTGTAATTGAAGTTGATCTATCCCTCAAAATGGTCGTCTGTACAAATACTAGCGTCAAAAGCCTAATGAAACATGCAAAAGAAGTTCTTTTTCAGCTCAATTCTCTTTTCAAAATTGTTTCTATCGATTTTGATTCGGATCATCACTTGTGGAAAGTGCAA